TAGTATACGGAAACTATTGATTGATTGAATGGTTATTAATGTCCAGTAGCAAATATTACATGCATGCACACAGGACGAGATACGTTGACGTGATGTGAAAATGAACTATTCGTGTTGTTAAGACCTACATACTTAGTCAATATTGAAGTAGTTCACAAGGTAACAGTTATTATTCCCGGATCGATACGAGTTGAAGAGTCTTCATTCTAGTAAGATGAGTGCTTTGGGGCGAAGCGGAAAATAATAATTTTCAAGTTTTTTTGTAAATCCTAAAGGGATTATGTTTTTTTTTTGCACTCAAAGCGAGTATACGGTATGGTTGTGGTACCAACAACTATGTAGCTGGTATTTTCTAAACAATGCCCGTAATATAAAAAGTTCCTCTTAGTTTACACCAGTTGTATGTATTTATCGTACACATACATGTCTTACAGGATTAAAAATTCCGCTGCATGTGTCTTCCTCTTGCTTTTATTCTTTGTGTAGTTTGTAAAATGCATACATAGAAAAACCAATTCCTATATGTTAACTCTTTTTTTGTGAAAACGACGTGGATGCACGTGCTGCCGTGCCTCCGTGTAGCTACGCCCCTGATTAAAGTCAGCTAAATTAGAACATATCCTATCAAAACATAAAAGCTATGGAAAGTACATTCAATAGGATGCGGTTAAAGGAACATCGTCATCTAAAAAAGGGAAGTTTGTGAAATCGTCTTTTTTATCGCATATTTCATATTGGTTTTTTGCTCAATACAGTTGTCAAAAGGTTATGGTTTGTATATCCGATATTATATAAAAAGTAACGGAGCCATCAGACAAAATTTGTACTTCTTATTACCACTATAATTGCACTTCTTCATTTTAACAGGACTATTTTTTTTCTTGTCAAAAAATATAAATACAAATAATTAAATATTAGAAAAGTCATCCGCAGACTGTATGCCCTGTAATCCAAATAAGTAATCTTCATATCGAAAATCTTGTTTTATGAAGCCTCCTACTTCCTTTTCAAAATCCATTCACTTTGGAAATCCAATTAAAAAATCCTTAACAATTTCAGAATTCCTAAGATAGAAATCCAGGACTTCACGTAATCTGTAGATCTTTTCTCATAAGTCGAATTCATATTATTGCAAATAAACAAAAAAGTGTAAGAATAAATATCAAAGTTTCACAGATTTCTCAGCGGCAAAATAATTGTATCTATATGACTTATGTGACCATTTTTGTAAGTATTTGAAACAAGTTGGACTTCAACTTCATCAAAAACTACCTTGACCCAAAACTTTAACCTGAAGCGGGACAGACGGACGGACGGACGTACGAACGGACGGACGGACGAACTGACGCACAGACCGGAAAAAATAATGCTCCTAGATGGGGCATAATAATATATTCTAAACCATAGGGAATACGTTAAAGGAACATAGTGGAATGTTGCGTTGTTTTGATGACTTTGAAACAGTTTCAATATTTCATGTCAAAAATTTTAATACAGCCATTGTAGAATTTTCGGTTAACTTACAGCAATGCGGAATTACCATACTGGGGAGAAAACATGTAGACTGAATAACAAACATAAGAGAACATGATCTGAGCAACTATCATATAACCTAAAAGCACTAAAAAGTTAAAAGTGACAAGTATTTAAAAATAGGCACGATTTTAACATCTTTCATGAAATCTACTGACTTTATTTTATTTAATTTATGGAGAAATGTAATATAACCGCCACCGATATCATTAGGTGATTTGTGCAGTGTCGCCGTAATAGTAATGTGTTAAAAGGTTTTTTAGAGACAGAGACAGACAACTGTTAAAATTGATTATGAGCATAAAAACAAAAACATTGGTATGAAAGTGTTAATGTTATGGTGCAAACTGACACGAACAAATTATAAAAAAGTGTGTTCTGTTTATGCTCTTTTATGATTGGCAGTTTTTGCACTACGTGGGTAGAATGATATCCTTTTATACCATAGTTTTATTGCGCAATTCATTCTATGGTAAATCCACAAATGTGCAAATCTATAAAGTAATATGTCATTTATACCACCCTCTAATTTGCATTGTCAGATTTGTTTTATATTGAATGTCATTAAATAGAGGAATGAGTAGTTTACCGATTTTAAAATGTCGTAGATCCATTAAAAGGATACAAATCAAGGTAAAAAATTAAACCGAAGGAAACAAATAACGCAGATATTACATTTAATATAACAGCTTTTAAGTACATAATAAGACAAGGCCTGAGTATTTCATCTAGATAAGAAAAACAAGTGATATGGATGATCTTATTATATTGTCAAATTGTATATCGAGATGTGTGTTATGACTTTTTCTGTATACAACTTTTTTTTTTAAATAGAACATGCCTTACATAGAAAATGTGGACAACCTTTAAAATAATTAAGGTTGTATCTATTGAGTTTTATTAGGTAAGAAGAAATACACGCACAGTCCTGTATATGACACAAACTAAATTGTATTTTATTTATCCAAATGAGATCAGATGTAGCACATTTATTTGATAAGAATGTGAATCCAACATTAATTCAAAATTGGGAAGTCCCATAAAACATGACAAATTCAAACGCTCGACTTTTCCTAACCTTGTACATGCATCTTCCGAAGAAAATGATCTGTTAACATGGTTTTATAGCTAGCTAAACCTTCCACTTTTACAACAGTTGTATATATTTCCTTGATATTGACATAATTGTGCGAGCAACCCAAACAGACATAAATGGTTAATGTGACAATAGGTGGGATCCAGCAGCCAAAATTGTGTAAACATACATCATACAACACAAATAAATAAAATAATTCAAACGAACATAAGATGAAATCTACAGAAGACGCCAACAAAAGAGTTTTTGTATTTGATAGTGAAAAAATTCATTATAGATATACCAAAGATCATAAATATGATCTATATGATCTATTACAGTAAAGTAAAACAGTATGACATAGACATACTTTCCCGACTAGTTGCAAATTTAGTAAATACAGATACGAGAGTACACAAAATGAAAATGACACTCCGAAACGCCTAAATCCAAAAACCTAAAAGACGGATGCAATAGCCACGACTAGAGTCATAGGACAAACACGCACATAATAGTACACATAAAGGATAACTGCAAATGAAAAAGAAAATGATACACAGCGTCTTTATTTCATCTCATTTATTGAAATATTTTAAAATATCCAACTTAAGCATACAATTCTTCACAATACTCCCTTAAGTGTTTTGAATCTTAAAACAATCTATCCGTTTTGATATACCAATGAATACCAAGATGTCTATCTGCATATTTTTTTTTATTCTTTATAAACTAGATTGTAATATTGAAGTGCTTACAAAAGCGTAGAGACATTACTCTAAAAAATATGTGTTAATTACACTCTTGATATCACAAAATAACACTTTTTCCGAAATAAAAATAAAAATACAAAACAGTAGGCTAACAAATAGTGTAGGAATTAAGCGAAACCGCAAAAATATTAAGCCCATAATATCAGTAACATTTGTTGTTTCTTTGTTGACACTGTTACCTTGAAACGTAGTTTTATATGCATACGAATGACCTATTTTATAATTTCATCCAATAATATGAAAGGTCAATATAAGAATTAACATTCCTTTTATAATTTGATTTAGAATGAAAATAAGAAACTTTCCATAAGACTTTAAAAAGCAACCTTTCATTTCGGATAACAGTAATTGTAGGTAAGTTAAGGAATTGTTGACCCTTCCGCAGCCAAAAAAAAACGAGATAACATACTCAGGGTGCATTTGAAAATCATAAGACCTATAAAAAAGGCAATATCATGGCCAAAAATAAAAAAACGACGAAAAGACAAACAACCATAACAAACACTACATAGAAAACTAAAGACTGAGCAACACGAACCCCATAAAAACCAGGGGTCAACTCAGGTGTTTCAGAAGGGAATATTGCTCTACATGTGGCATCCGTCGTATTATTCAGGCAAGTTAAAATCCTGATATAAACAGCTTTGATAATGTCACAATCAAGAAAAAGAGGACGGGATTGTTGATTATTTCAACCGATGTTTTAGATTTCTATAAAATATCCGATTTGTGTTACTCATATTGATTATTTAATACTGTCAAATGTTAAACTGTCTTCCCCTAACTTCCAATTGATCTTCTGATTCATTCACCGTGAAACCTGTCGAAATCTTAATCTGCAATAAGTTGATTTAAGGTTAACAAGGAATATTCCTCAGAAGGTCATTGACGAAAGGACGAACAAGTAAACAAATCACTACATAGAAAACTAAAGATTGAGCAACACGAACCTCACCATAACCCAGGGGTGAATTCAAGTGACCCTGAAGGCTAATCAGTTCTTGGGGGTATCTGTCGTGTTGCTCATCCAAGTACAAATCCGGTGATAAATCTCATTCGGTGATATCACAATCGAGGATAAGACGACGGGATAGTGGTTATGACAATTGATCTTTTGATTCATACACCGTGAAACCTGCCGAAATCTTAATCTGCAATAAGTTGATTTCAGTCTAAACGGAATTCCACTACAAGGTTAACAAGGAATCTTCCTCAGAAGGCTTACTTGTCAAAACCAGAAACTCGTCATATTCAAAAAGTGGTTCGGTTTAATCATTGTTCATTGTAATAAGTACTTAATATAGTTATTGCAAAACTATCATTTGTTCAATAAAAAGTCCGTAAACTTACCTTATATTTCACATTGTCAGCAATGGAGACGGCATCTTTATACCAGGTAACATTAACGGCTTTGTTGTTAATAACATAACATCAAACTTTCCTCATATTTCACATTATTAGCTATGAGACGACATCTTTATACTAGGTAACATTAACGGCTTTGTTGTTATTAAAATAACATCAAACTTTCCTCATATTTCACATTATTAGCTATGAGGACGACATCTTTATACCAGGTAAAATTAACGGCTTTGTTGTTAATAACATGACATCACACTTACCTCATATTTCACATTATCAGCAACGAGGACGGCATCTTTATACCAGGTAACATTAACGGCTCGTTGTGAATAACATGACATCAACACTACTGAGGATTCTTCTACCACTGTATCCATAGGGGGAACTTCTACAGCTAAGAATCAGAGACAAAACATTGTTTAATGCGGTATGAATGACTACACTATAAAATTGTTTACAATGAAAAGCGTTTGATCAATTCAAAAATCGTTTTATTTTGTATGTTGTACCTTTATTTAAAAGAATGCAACTGTCAACAAGTCTAAATATCTAACACCATAAAAAGGGAAGTGAAAAGGATTGATATTTTTCTCTCAGGAACTTTAATGAGTACTCAATAATAAACAATAGAAACGAAAGGTCTGATATGATCATCATGAACGTATACATCAGGGGAACCGTTGACAAAGAGAACCATTAAAGATACCAATGTTATAATTCAGTATGCCAGAATTGAGTTCCAACTACGTAAAAAAAGGTAAGACTCATTATTTGCGCTGAACTTGATCTGTTATATGTTGGGAAAAGGACATGAGATAAAATGTCTTCTTTGAGAAAATTGATCAAATCTTAATCAGAACTATTTGATATTTATTTGATATCAAAGTTGGAGAACAATTTATGAATTACTTCCACTTTACTGGTGCCATGTGTAAAGCAAGAATTGCACAAATCTGATAAATAAAAAAGTGGATTCAAAGGGGCATTAAAAAATATCACAAGTCGAAAAATACTGACGAAACCATGGCAAAAAGACAAAAATCGACGAAATGACGAACAAGTAAACAAAACATTACACAGAAAACAAAGATTGAGCAACACGAACCTCTCCATAACCCAGGGGTGAATTCAAGTGACCCCGAAAAGTAATCAGTACCTGGGGCATCTGTCGTGCTGCTCATTCAAGTACAAATTCGGTGATAAATTTCATTCGGTGATATCACAATCAGGGACAAGACGACGGGATAGTGGTTATGACAATTGGAAAATATCCGTAGACATATCTTTGACACAGATATTTCATAACAAACAACTCGTGGTTAGGTTTTTCCTGACTTCATGAAAGTATAATAAAAGTTAAATTTTATACCCGGATTTATTAATTAAATAAATCAACATTTTGGTTTTTCAAACATACTTTTCATTTCTATTCCAATTTAAAGAAAAGGATTTTTATCTAAATTTTTGTTTTATTTCATCGCTAGATTTGACCCTTTTTTTAAAGTCGATGATTACAATTATTGAACGAAATATTAACACTTGAAACCTCATAGTTTTTGTCATACGGATTTTGAAATTTTATTTTCGTTTTCGAATTTCATGTTTACATTTTAAAAGAAAATTGATTAAACCACTGTTTAAGATATCATTCAAAGTTAAAATAAAGTTATGTATAAAACATCCAAAGTGCCGGCATTTTTCAAAACATCTATATATTTTTTTTCATTCTCAATCAGAATGATTGTATATCTCATTTGCATGTATAAGTGCTTATTTTAATTGAACAAGTGTCTCCTTCACAAACAATACAAGATGGTCTTGAGTTATATATTCTAGGTGCTGAAGTTGTGTAACCCCAGTTATTTGTCTTCATGCTATTATGTTTCTTTTGGTTGTACGATTTTTGACGTGCCTCGGTATTTATACATCCCGCCATCGGGGTTTTAACTTTTTAACTTTGGGCAATCCTGTTGCTGGTGGGTCCTGAGGTGCAATTCGGACACACGTTTTTACAGTGTTGTTTCTGTTTTGTTTACCCTTGTATTTATATTTATTTAATGTTTACTTTATCGAAACAGTGTATATACTACGGTATGCACATATGTACTATCAATGACAAAATTTTTCTCTTTTGACGCGTAATGGTCAAATTAAAAATTTACTATCTACTGCACCTTTTTTGTTGGCGTCTTTTGTTAAATTAATTTGTATGTTTGTTTAGTCAGTTGTGTTGTATGTCTGCGATGTATGTTTGCACAATTTGGGCTGTTGAATCCCAATTATTGTCACATTAAAAGAGGGACGAAAGATACCAGAGGGACAGTCAAACTCATAGATCGAAAACAAACTGACAACGTCATGGCCAAAAATAAAAAGACAAACAGACAAATAATAGTACAGATGACACAACATAGAAAACTAAAGACTAAGCAACACGAACCCCACCAAAAACTGGGGGTGATCTCAGGTGCTCCGGAAGGGTAAGCAGATCCTGCTCCACATGTGGCACCCGTCGTGTTGCTTATGTTATTACAAATCCGGTAAATAGTCTAATTCGGTAAGTCACATTCGTGAAAAGGGAAGGGTATTGTAGTTACGACATAAGGAACATATCCGATATCATCTGTGAAACGGTTATTCCATAACGGTCAACCAACTCGTGATGGCGTCCGTTAAATTTAAGGTATTCAGTCTGTTGGGTTGCTCACCCAATTTTGTCAATATAACGGGACAACTATAATACAAGTGGGAGGTTTAGCTAGCTATAAAACCAGGTGTAACCCACCATTTCTTCGGAAAATGCCTTTTCCAAGACAGGAATAAGGCAGTTGTTTTTCACTTGTTCCGTAGATTGATAGCGTTCGATTTTGTCAGTTTTTATGGACTTCTTCTTTTTGAATTTGCCTTGCAGTTCGGTATTTATGCTATACTATTTTATGCTGCAAGTATTTGATTCATTAACAGGAAAAAACACTTTTTAAAGTCACACATGATGGTTAAAAAAGCATGATACAAATTTTATTTTCAATGTACTTCTTGCATCATGCAATAATTTATTGTTTTGATATTTGAAAGGTCTGGAATATCAAATCAACAATATACAAACATTTATTTCTTATGCAGGAAAAATACTGCAATCTGATTGGTTAATTACCCCGGTGTAAATAACACCCCACCCTTGTTCACCCCGGGATAAATAAAATTTTGCCAAAAAAATAAATAAAACAAAAATAAATACAATGTCAAAAAAAAAAAAATTATAAAAAATGAAAAATAAATAAATTTGAGGACAAACATTTGTAAAAAATGAAAAAAAAAAAATTGAAAAATTTCCCCCCGAAAATTCAAAAGAACAAATTTTTTTTTCTGAATCCCCAAAATAAAGAAAAAATGTATTTGACAATGCGCAGCAACATCTACGTTGAAAAAATGTAACACTGGAAATTTTTCATTAGCATTTTTCAATTTTACATCCCGGGTTAAAAATGAGTAAAGGAATTGTTCATAAGAAATAAATTCGTTATCTTGGTGTAATCAGGAGTGTACGGGATTTTACACCGTTGTTGAAAATTCTTACACCCATTCGGTTGCGCCTCAGGGTGTATGAATTTTCAACAACGATGTAAAATTCTGTACACCCCTGATTACACCAAGATAACTAATAGTACACCATATAAATATTCCAAAATAACTTAAATGAGTCCGTTTCTGAACCTCTTTTATTACAGATGTACTGGACTTATATAATTTTAATCAGACTACCAATTAATCAACCGTTAATTGAATAAATTTAAAAGGTATACCACCCGTGGCTTTAGTACGTGTTTAGTGCAAAAAAGCATTTGACTTTACCTTTAAAATTATTGTTTTGCGGAAAATAAAGTTACCCATGTGTTTAATAATTTTAATGAAAGCTTACTGAAGATCGTTGAAAGGAAGCAAATATACACAGACGTATAAAGCCGTCACTAGTGCAATAAGCTTTTCTATTTCACAAGGTTTTACGTGTGGTAATGTGCTTGAACAATGTAGGTGGCATTGCCATTGTTTGATGACATTGTTTTAAGCTTCATATGGTTATTAACTTCATTATCGTGAATGCGTTGTCCTGATTCAAAATAAAATTGAATGCGACATGTAACCGCTGAGATAAATCGAATATAGATTATTGAAACGGAAAACGTTAATAAGATTGCAAAATTGCAAAAAAATAAATAAATAGAAATATTCTACAATCCTTTCAATATTTGATAGTTTGATAGGAATGATATAATCTTGAATACATACATGTCAGATGTGATGACACAATGGTGTCATAAACATGTACAAATTCAACATACAGTGTCATTAACAAGATATCTATTTTTGGCAAAATAAGATTAGCATCCGGAATTACGTAAGGAATATTAGTGACTCAAGTTAACATTTTGCATAAAACTTGCAGACAAATAACTCAAATTAAAGTTAAAATTTTGTTTGTCAATACCCTCTTCTATCTATAGTTTTGAAATAACTATGATAGTAACTGTCCGTTTAGTACTCTAAATTTCCATTCAAGTTATATTTAATCCCCTTTATATTTGGTGTCTTTGAATAAAACAAAATACTGCTACCAGCAACATAGAAAATCTGGCAACTTTGGCTTTAGACAGGTGGTAAATTAGTTGAACTTGACCGTAAACGTGGAAGTAAAAAGATCTTTATTGTGCGTTCTTTTATTATCTTCACTAGTTTTTTGTGTAGCTTATCACACACATGATCTTATAATTCATTAAAATAAATTACCAGAGAATTCATCAAAGTCAAATAAATCCAGATTATATAATTAATTCTGTTGCAGCATTTTTCAATTTTCCAGTTACATAACGGATGACAATAGTGGAGCAGGATCTGATTACCCGTTCGGAGCAAATGAGATCACCTCAAGTTCAAGTTGTTAAGTCTTAACTTTTCTATATAGTGTTTTGTGTACTTGTTTGTCTTTCTGTCATCTTTGACTTTTTTCCATGGCGTTGTCAGTTTCTCTTCGACTTATGCGTTTTAAATTTCCCCTTGTTATCTTCCGCCTTTGTTTAATCAGGGGACATATAATCAGTACAGTTATAACAAATAACAAACAATAAAAAAGCACTATTTTTAACAAATTACATAAGCACGACATAGTATAGTTTTGAAAAAAATCATTTTAACGTTTTTTTTTACATCACTGAAAAACTGTTTGAACGATTTGAAAAGAAACCAACAAACGATTTCAAAAATCGCAGAATGATTTAAAAAAAAAGTGCATTTAAAAATGGCACGAATACTCGTTGAACATAATAAACATTAAATCTACGAGAACTGAGCAAGATCGTGATTAAAAAAATGCATAATTGAAATAAACACTGTATAGCTAACGAGCTAATAATTTTGTACGCCAGACGCGTTTTTTCATCAATAAAAGATTCATCAGTGATGCTCGAATAAAAGGTTAAAAGGCCAAATCAAGTCCGAAGTTGAAGAGTTTGAAAGAGTTATCATACTTTTACTTTGAATGAAAAAAAAATCTTATTCAAAGCCACTCCAATTTTTTTACTTACATAAATTGCACGGTTCTGCCAGGATAAGTCTGAATTCATGTTCTAAAAAGTCAGATGATGTACTGGCTAGGCATTTATATAGTCCTTCTAAAGTTATACTGAATTTAGAAATATCTAAAACCCCTCCAGGGTAGACCGTCACACTGTTTTTCTCTGTTTGTAGCATTAGGTCTTCATAAAACCTATAAAATATTACTTTAGTATTTGCAAAAATCACATTTTACAATAGAATAAAGTACTTTTCTTAAGAAAATGAGTTGTTTTCATGTCAAATAATTAATGATTAGAAAATTTCAATGAAATGTTATTACAATCATTAATAGTAAAATAATGAATGAAAGTATAAAATACGTAGCTTTAATTATATTAAACTCTTTTGTATTATTCGAACAATAAACCTAAATATGAGCTAATCTATAAGTCAAATATTATTAAAATTCAGAAAATTAGATCCTTACTCGAACAATGGTCAGAGTATAAAAATAGAGGTTGCACTTTGAAGATACAGCTGATTCACAAATCACGTCTATTTTTGGGAGAAAATTAATATTCGTAAATATTTTGTTTCGCGTACCTACTGGTTCCTAAATATAATTTTTATGATTAATCTCATACATATGTGACCTCTCATCACTCATCACAGTAAAATACCAAATATCAAAACAATTTCCCATTGCATAAAAAAGGGAGGCGAAAAATACCAATGGGATATCCAAATTCGAAAAAGACGAAAACAAATTGACAATGACATGGCAAGAAACGAAGAAAAGATCAAAAGACAAACAATATTATACAAACACAACACAGAAAACTTAAGCTTCATGACCCCCATTAAAAACGAGGAGTGATCTCTGGTGCTCCGATGAAGGCTGTTTTTATTGAAAATGAAATCAGGTTGAAACTTTAATGTATTGACATCTTACTGTTTCTAACGTTGCTATAGGCTTTTGCAATATTACTCAATTAGACATGACTTTAAAACTACATGACATTTGATCGCACTACGTTTTGAGTTCTTGTAGTTCAAACTATCACTTTAATATTGTTCGTTTGCACCTAAATACATTATTTTTGAACTGACGTTGAGATATTATAAACTTCATATTTTGCAATTTTATTGACTATTCTAAGCGTAAAATTAATGGCTTAAAGAATCTTTTCTTTGCATGTCGTTCATAGGCAATAAATCAAGTCTTTCTGCAAATGTCTCACACGAACTTAGTCATTCAAAACGTCCAATGGCACATTGTGCTTCAAACAACAATATATGAAAGGCATTGAAAAACAATCTGACTTATAGTATTAAGAAACTATACAAACCACATGTAATCAGCTGTGTCGTCGTTGACTTGGCATTCTAATATGATACGTTCTCCATGCTCAATGAGTTGATCTGTTGGTGATTTTATGAATTTCAGCTTTTCCACTTCCTAAAAACACAAAATAAAAAAATAAAACACAAATTGAAACCAAAGATATTTGTTTTAAATTAATGATAAATAAACTGTTTATTATAATTTGCTCTGCATAGATATTTGGAACATAACATTTACCCGGGTTGCTTAATTCATCAACCAAATATTCAGAATTGAACACCGACAACGAGTATTTAAAATTCAATTTACGTTTTTGAGAAGGCGAACGGAAGCTTGTATGGTAGTGAGTCTAATGAAATGGCGATATAACATTTTGTTTGCACGAAAAACTTTTGAGGGAATTTAAATTTTATGTAACCTTTAGCTTTAGAAATAAAATTTGTGTATAATGATGGGTTGGTCGACTGTTCATGAAAGGAAAACATACAATACCGACATTTTGATACATTCTTCCAATCACCACTGGAAATAAATGTCTCTGTGTATTTTTTTAGAACTGTTAAAATCTAAATTGTATGTTCATTCCAAAGCAAAATTAAGTCCTTAGCATCATTCTGTATCAACCATACCCCTGGTAGTCCTTTCCCCTTTATATCAGTCATAATAATCTAAAAATTGAATGTTGGAACTCAGGCTATATTTTCATCATCAACAGGATTTTTAAGGTACTTCTTGTGTGGGTTTACACATATAGAAAGCAATAAGAGAGATGCGAAATATATCAAAGGAACATTCAAACTCATAAGTCAAAAACAAACTGACATTCCAATGGCAAAAATCGTAGTTCTCTTTTACGTTCACCATCACTAATTCGATACAATTTGTCGATGTTTCATCTTACTAGCGCCATGTTTTCGCAGTCTTAGATCTGTAGATCCCAGTAAAGTCGTCTGATCTGCAATTCTTCTGGTTGCGGCCTACTCCTGATTGTGACATTTTGACTGAGTGTGAAATCATATGGCGGGTGATACTTGCATAGCAGAATACGCTAAACCTGACGACGAATCAGGTCTCGCTCCTTTTGAAGTTTATGCGATTTAGCATTTTGTTTGTTACCTTGCTTTGTTTCCTAATCGATTTATGAAATATGAACATCGGTAAATAACTGTCGCCTTAATTTACAATACTGTTGTTTAAGTATTGTAACGTTTAAGAGGTCAGGATGTTAGGTATATGCTTAATTATTCATCTTAAAGTGCCTACTCATTCCTTTGTCCCTTTTTTGTGTTCCGACTAATACATATGTTCACATTGAAATTAATAAAAAATATTGTTATTGTTATAACTTGTGTAAATGTACATTATTATTAAGCTATCTCCAGATATTAAGAGTAGAACAGGATTCCCTAGTGTCCCATATTTTCTTCATCTTTTCATCTAGAAGTCCAAATAAGCCAAACAGTATCGCTTGAAAGTCAATAATTCAACCTCATTTGAATCCGTATCCATGCGACCTTCAATTTGACCCTTAGCTAGAGATGGTTTGCCAATGCGCTAAGCATGTTAAGTTAAAAAATGAAAAGATTTGCAACATTGAAAAGTGAAACAAGGGAGCCACAGTGCGAACCATTTTGTTGACTGATTTGACCAACAAAAAATCATTTTCATAAAAACAATGATTGACACATTTTTTTAATCTAAGACATGAAATCAAATAGACCTAGAAAAATCGTCATTATACGATTGCACGTGCTTGTCTGTGTATTTGAATTTAGATTTATGTTTATAACAGATAATTGACCATCGGCATTTTTCGTAGGTAATTTCGATGGTCAATTGAAATACACTCGAAATTCTGATGCATAATTACAAGTCCGTGTTATTTTGATTGTGTCTTTTGAACTTTTTGTAATTTTGGATGTACGTTTAGTATGTTGTAAATAAAATATGAGAATTTGACAGCTCATGCTTCTTTTAGTGTCATTTTCGAATTAAGATAGGTTTCGTACGAACATTGAAAAAGTAAAATAACAAAAATACCGAACTCCAAGGAAAATTCCCTTATCAAATGGCAAAATCTAAACCTCAAACACATCACAAATACATGGATCAGTCTCTCCTGGTGATTGTGCATAAATTAAATGCATTATAAATATCAAAGAGACAACTCTAAACAACGCCATTTGATGAAAATAAACGTCTGTAGGTAAAATTGGAAATTAAGTCTGCGAAAATTTACTCAAGACATTGATTTTATATTGATGTAGGACCTAAGCTTTGTGTCAGTCTGACCTTTGACCTCTAACCTTGAATATCGACAAGTTAGATTTTTTCTTTTTAATTACATTAATTATGCCAAGTATGATAAATATATATCAAAGCGTTTTCTAAGCATCGTTCAAGCAAGGACATGGATCGCCTCGGACTGACTGACTCGTATATTCAGCCAAGGAAGGATTTCGAATGATCAAGAATTAATTATTAAATATTACCATGCGCTTAGAAGGTTCCAAGTTGATTTTGAAATCAATATATATAAAAAAAACCTTACTTGAGGAACAGATTTAAATTTGAGTGGTTATGTATAATTTTAATGTAATAGGGATATTTTTGATTATTATAATGTATTCATAGAGATTTGTCTTTTCCTTTCATGTTAGATGCTGCATATAAAACATTTTGATTCAATTTCTTATATGCCAAATATACAATTGTGTACAGACAATTTTTATTTTTGTGACGATTTCAGTCATTTATTGTATCCATTTCCAAAAGAAACCCGCGTATTCGATTACAATGTCAATTAATATTATGTTAGAACGAACTTCCTGCCTTAGGTGATTCATGATAAAATTTTAAATAAAAATATACGAATATACAATCAATTTACACTTGTTTTTAGTGTTTTCATATACATTTTGATAAATTGAAAGAAACAGGACTTCAATTAATGTTTAAACATTGGTTATTTATTCCAAATATTTCTAGGAATGCAGTATTTATAACTTGAAGCTTTAGCCATTGGATATTGTTAAATTAGTCGAAACTAGATAACTATTATAATGGATAGTGATTTTATTATCATCCGGCTTGATAAATATTTAAGACATGATATGTCAGACCTCTTAACGCCAATTAAAATTGTACAATATTATTTAATTTCAAATGTACTTTAGCATATTGCTTTAATTCGAATACTACATTACATGAACTTTGTAATGATTTAATTATTCACGTATTACAATACTGTTCTGTTTTCATAATGCGAAATCTCAAATGTAATACCGAATAAAGTCCTAATGAACCAAATGCAATAAAGTCATAATTGTTATGTTAGTGGGAATAATTATTAAATTGAATATCACGTTTAATTGAAATAAGAATGCACTGTTATACCCCAATGGGTTGATGGCATGCATGAAAATTAACAAAATAACACAGTACATAATATAAGACGGGAGTTTATATATTTACATATCGTGCAGTTGTTGAATCCACTCTCCTCAAAGAGATGCAGCAGATACCAAGGGGCTAGTCAAACTCATAAGTCGAAAACAAACTGACAATGCCATGGCGAAAAACGAAAACATCATCAAAAGGCAACTAATAGTCTATTAAACACAACATGGAAACTAAAGACTGAACAACATGAACCCTACTAAAAACCGGTGATGATCTCAGGTGCTCCAGAAGGGTCAGCAGACATGATCGTTGTCGGGTAAAAGCATATTCAACTGTATAACAACAGTACTATACAATACAAATACAAATACAAAAAAAATTGTTGAGGCGAATTATAACTAATTACGAAGATTTCATTCGTGGCAAAACAAAACATTTTACAAACTGTATGGTCAAATCAAAATTAGCGGTTATCTTTTGAGTGTACTTCAGTGATAAAACCTGATACACACATAAAGTTTTATTATCTTAATAGAGAATATGTGTCTATAAACTCATCATAGATTCCAGGATATAACATGTATAAGGAACTTCACTTTTAGTGTTTAATGTATAGTGTCTGTTTGTGAGGTACTTTAGTACTCTTGTGCTAAATATGGATCTTCGGATTCAAGCCATTTCCAATTGATTTTTACATTTTGTTCTTATATTGTGATGATACACCAATGTCCGCGGAAGAGCCAAAGTTGAGCTCTCACCAACATGTTTATTTCCTCCATATTTCTTATTTGCCTGCCCAAAGCTATGAACCTGTAATCTAGTGGTTGTCATTAGTTATTGTTGTTGTTTTCCATAATTGTTTTTTTCGAAATAAACTCAGGCTGCTGGTTTGAATAGATTCACATTTTATCCTTAACTAGCTTGATATACGGTATTGGTTTAATTCATTGTTGAAGTCCGTAACTGTAAATGTTCACATTCTTGTCTTTTGCTCTTTGATGTTGTCTCATTGGCAATCATGCCAATCTCCTGATTTATAAATAAATGTTGAAAAAAGGTCCATGAGTCTTTTATGGTATGTAACGTTCTTACCATTACATCAAACTACACTGTAAGAATTTGCGCATTAACGATAAAAGTCAGTTTAGACATTATTGAATTGTAAAAGTACAATATGGGGTCTTAATTTAAACTAACAAGCATTAGAGACAAAGTTATTCAACATTATGTTAAATTCATGACCGCAAATGCGTTTTTTTTTAGACTCTTTCTGGGAAAACAAAATTTACTAAGAAAAAATAACACCTTTACATGTTCAATGATATACTAATAATTTTCCTTATAAGTCCGGTAATCACCCAAACACATTATACTCTGATCTCGACACGAGACTAAAGCTGAGCTTCTTATTAAAAATAGAGGCGAAAGATTTGGACATGCAAACTCATAATTCGAAAATAAACTGACAATGCCATGGCAAAAAACAAAAAAAAATACAAAAAGACAAATTACAGTATACGAAACATAGAAAATTAAAGACTGAACAACAAAAACCCCACCAAAAAACTGTGGGTGATCTTAAGTGCTGTAGGGAGGGTACGTAGATCCTGCTCCACATGTGGCACTGGCGTGTTGTTCATGTAAGTACAAACCCCGTGATAAGTATAAATTGGTAGGTCACATTTGAGGAAAAGAGGACGGGATGTGGTTAC